GAAAGTGAGTACTTTTGCCATCTCTGCCTGTCAGCCTAGAAAAAAAAAAGAGCCACTAGTCTTGCAAAAACTCAAAAAAAGTGTGTCACAGCCCCCCCTCCCCCTTCAGTGTCCACCATATTGGATCAGTCCATTTGCTGCTCATGTTCAGAAAGTTCCAAACAGACAGCAGCAAACTATTTGAAAACAAACGATGCAAAGAGCAGTGTTCCCAACTTAGCGCTTTTATCTCTATATTTATGACTTTTCAGACCCCTCTAGTACTTTTATTTCAAAAACTGTCTTTGCCTAGGGCCCCAAATTTTCTAAACACGACTGCAGATCAGTTCACTTGTATGGATCCACTCTCTCTGTTATGAAGCCCTTAAAGGTGCAGAATCACATGACTAAACGGAAAAAAGACAGAAAAATATTACATCATCATGGAGAAAGCTAATATGGACTAAACATCCATCCTGACAGTGTTTAGATGATCCGTTTTAAGCCTAAATAGAATTACAGCATCCTGTAAGCATGAGCAGACAGTTTCTGTTTCTGCAAACGCAAACTGGAAAAAAGCTTAAAGTTAAAAAACATTTAAATGAAATAAATATTTAAAGGAAAAAAAATAAAAGTTTCAGTGGAACAAAAACAAACAAAAACGCATCGTTTAACAGTTTTTTGGAGGCTTATTTTCACTGTTTCTGCACGTCCACACTCGCTTGTTTATCAATAACAGCGTGTTATGTTAAATATACACAGAAGGGATTCATTTGCAAAGAAATAAAGAAAAAAAGCTTAAAACACACAAAAGTTCACCAGCAAAATGCTGTCATCTTTCAGAAAGAGTATCAGTGCAACCAGAGGGAGCTACAGCTGTAAAAATTAGAAATAAATGTGAAAAGTCATGTAATGAGACTGTGTGCATTTAAAAAAAGGAAATCAGTATTTAATTAAATGACGTCAACCTCTTGGAAATGAACAGAAATGTTCCTGCAACATCGCCGCTAACAAATGGCTGCCAAATAACTGTGTATTTCTGTGTAATGACAAATAAGCTTCTAATTCGAATGTAAAGTTTTACTAACTTCTGGTTAAGTTACCATAAATCTGGGACAGTAATTATTGGGGGAGACATTTCCTTTGCCCTTTGCAGCGACTGCAAAGGTCGCCGGTTTGAAAGATTAACGTTCCTGAAAAATTTTAGCCAAAGATGCATATGACAAATTAACCACAGGTGGAAAATAAGTTGGAAAGTAGGTTCTGGAGCAAGAAGTTGGAAATATATTGCATGGTTAACAGGTTACTGCTACTTTTATGGAGTGAATGTCACTCAGTTATTGCTGCAAAAAAGAACATGTTTTATAAATGGAAAAAAATCCCACCCAGTTAGTAAATTGAGATTTTAAAAAATGCAATCCAGCAAAGAAACTTTAAAAAAATTTGAATAAAAAAAGGTTTTATGGTGAAGTTGTTTTAAAAAATTAAAACAAGGAAAGGTTTCCTTTGTAGATTGCATTTTTTTAAATGTCAATTTAAAAGATTTTTTCTTTCACACCATATAATTTGAATTAAGCTGCAAAAATTCACGATTTTAACTTTCAACAACACAGAATTCAAGGTTTGATGAATGTAAAATAAAAACTCAAATAGTTCAGTGAAAGTTTTAAATTCAGAACTTGATAGTAAATTCATTTAGTCATTCCCTGATGGTGGGGAGCTGCATTGTAGCCACAGATGCTCTGGGGCTCGCTGACAGAAGCCAGGCGGCCCTCTGACCACCATCACCATGGAGCCATGAAGTGTTCATTTCCACAGCCAGAAGAGCAAAAAGCACGAAGCATCATATTGACCTAAACAAAGATGGAAAAAGTCACACAGTGTTGCTAATTATGGATTAGGAATTTTCCAATCAGCATTTTAGGCCTTTGATCCCAATCCAATCTTTTAACCCTAAATCAGATATGATTTTTGTCCCGATTCGATATATTGCCTTTAGTTTGATGTTTATAAAACTGAAATACATTTTTACCAAGTAGCTCAACATTTAATAGTCCTCCAGCAGTCTAAGCCTATAGCAGCATAACTATAGAGATAGCTCAGGATAACCTGAGC